GTTTTTTGTTAAGCACTTTCTACCCTCGGCAACGTGACTCACCACTAACTACGAACCACTGTGCTCTGGCCCCGTGCATCTGCACTTGGCCACTAAAAGCCACTGTCACACACGTTTCTAACGTCAGGAAACCTGTCATTTTACAGGTAGATGTGTTTTTGTAGCTTCTACCCATCAATCACGCAGCACTCATCACTGTTCTGACAGCGCTGGATCGAAGCTCTCTCTTCCCCCGTGATTTGCGTCCTTTGCTGCTGGTTCTGCTGCATACGTCCACCCAGCCCAACGTCAGATGCACCAGCCAGCTTGCCTGAAGATATTGCTACGGAGCGGAGAAACCGCCGGCAGTCGTCTCTCTGCGACTTCCAAGTAACCAATCCATGAGTCTTTCCGACACCCCGCTTGGAAATGCCCCTGGGAGAGCAGGGCGGATGGTTATGCGGCCTACATTTTAGGACAAAAGTGCATCAAAAACAGCAAGATGTACAACCTGCAGCAGTACACCCTCAAGCAGAAAAGGGCTGAGTCCTGTCCACCACCTGCAGAAGGCTCCACCACATCTACTGCCTCCACTTCAACATCAGGCACTCTAGGTCAGTTCACAACAATATTCAAATACTGATTTCATGATCATTTAATGTACCTAACACACAATGAATGTTTTGTTTAATCTCCTAGTGATGGAGGAGGACAAGGAGCTGGAGAGACAGATGTTGAACCTGTCTCCATCTAAATTTGACACTGAACTAAGTAGGTGGATCTAGTTTCATAAAGAGTGAAACATATATAAAGACTTTTTTAAACTCTTACTGTACATGATAAAATGTCATCTGTGCTTTCAGGACCACCAGCAGCAGTCCAGGGAAGAGCAACTGTGTCTACACCAACAGGTTTTTCTTCATTAGTGCGGACGGAGGATTCTGTTTACAACAGAATTCACCTGCTGTTACTATTTTCTGTCAATTAGTTTGTTATTTTGGCCGTGTTCTGGTCTGTTCTGATGTTTGTGTTCTCTTGCTCTCCCACTAACCAAAGGAATTAACATGTCAACGATGATGGTAAGTGTTTTGTGTTATATGCATGCTTTATTTAAGATGTCATTCAAGGATTTGGCATGTAAAATACCATGGAGGATTAGATACAGGTTCACATGCCACATCTTTGATTGACCAGTGATATTCTTACTGTATACTGATATTGTTTCTGCGCTTTACCTGTTTTCAGATGCTTAAAAGATTTGTGTTTTTACATTTCAAATAAAAAGCAATTCACAATTTAATGAAAATGTTTAGTCTGTCCTACCAGTTAGCTGCAAAGACAACAGGTAAAGTCAGATTGCGAACCATAGGAAACTTAAATGTGTGAGGAAAATGACAGATTGTTTTTACAGCACACAGGACGAAGCCACCGGCTACTGTTTCTAGACCTGCAGAGACGGATGACCCCACTGTGACTGCTGCGTCTATGAAAGGTTATTATATTTGTTTACTTCCCACTTCATCCTGGATGTCATTCAGATTGCATGACATTTATGTTTTCCTTTTAATCCCATAGCTACAGCGAAGTCCCTGTTGCCGGTCCCTCCCCAGCTGCTCGCCATTGCCCCAGAGCTCGGGATAAAAGAGCAGGAGCCCGATGTGTTGAAACAAAGTATGACAGTAGTGCTCTTATACCTCACATAAATATCAGTTTCATTCTGATTCATCACATTTTCATTGTGTTATATATAGTGCTCATGTGTTACTGTAAGAAATGTAATGATGATCTGTTCAAGTTTATCTCAACTTTTGTTACAACTTCTTTCCAAAGCACACAGAAAGCCAGTCTCCCGCAGTCCTTTGGAGTCTGTGAGAACAGTAGCTCCATCTCTTCCTAAAGGTAAATGTTTTATTTTCTTAAATGCTCTGAGAAATGATATCTTAAGCACATGTTGCCAACACTTTCCTGTTTGTATCTCACCATCCTAGATTCATCATCTATTGCCCCTGTGGAAGCACAGGGAGACACTGTCCTTGATGAAGGTAAGAATTTGTGTGAGGCTTCCAGGCCCAGGCAATGACTGGAGTGGTGCGCTGGAACTTTCAGAGGGTGGTGGACCTGAAGCAGCCTGATGTGGATCTGCCAGCTGAGTTTGACCCTGTGCTCATTTGGGAACTGAACGCAGCCTGTCAAAGGGTGACAGGGGTGCCAAAATACCCAACCCTGCACATAACGAACAGGGACACAGGGGAGAGATTCGGTCTGCAGTATGTGGAGCCAGGCTGTCGTCCTGTTGTTTTAAACTGGGACAAGCACAAGACACAACACAACACCTCTGCTGCTGTAGCGGGCACAGACTCTCAGGTAATCCAGATGAATCACACACTGTCAGTTTCCAACCCACTGACAGACTGACTGACTCAATTATAGTTGATGCTGTATTTCAGGAGACCAGTGATGGCACAGCCCAGGACGACCCAGTGGGAACAGTGATCCTCTTTCCAGCCACTGATACCAGCAACTGCCACAGCCAAAGAAGAGAGATACAGGTTACCCACCTACCATTCCTCAACAGTTAACTGTTCATTTCATATTTAAAACAGCTTCACACATGGCTACTATATACAATTAGCTTAAAAAATAAATATAATATGTTTTATTCCTTAGACTTGCCAGAGGTAGCCCCACTGCCCATGTCCTCCTCTCCTCGAGCCGCCCGCACTGGACCCATAAAGACAGGAGGCCTTGTTCAAGTCCTGGACCACGGGCGGTGGATGGCACCATGAGAGCAGCCATCGATGAGCTTCTGACTAAACACCATGGAGCCAAAGATGTTCTGAAGAGGGTGGATGCAGAATATGCTGCCATGGTGCAGAGGGTGTACACTGACCCCAACAGCCTCCTTCATCCTCCCACATGCCAACATATCTCCAGATATGTAAAGCATCTGGCCAAGCTGAAGAACACCGGCTCCTCTCTCAATACCAGCCCAGAGAAGGTTTTGGAGACTCAGCAGCTGTGGCAGAGTTTGACCACAGGCAGCCAAACAGTCCCTCTCCCCGGGAGGAGTCACTGAGCCGCGCCACAGTGGAGAAGATAGTGACAGAGATGCTGGAAAAACAACAGCAGCAGAAGAGAAAGATGACCAGAAACTGTTCATCCTTAGTCCTCAAAGACCCCAGGATGTCTTTTGAGGACTTTGCTGCCTCCCCATTTTTTGACCCGGGAGCTTGAGGCTGCAAAAAAAAAAGGGTGCAGCATGGAAGAAAGTGGCAGAGGAGAGGGCAAAGAGGAAGTCTGCAGTGCAGATTCCAGTCTCCAGCCACTGAAACAGGGTC